GTCATGTGATTTGTTAGATTGTATTTTTGTAAAAATGTAAGCATATAAACCAAAACATATATAGAAATAATTTCTGTTCTGTATATATGTATACATTATATTACTTATACAAAAATAACATAATTCTATATTGTTACTTTAAAGAATACATCATATGTAAAGGGGGTGCAAACTTCATGTTTTATATTTCTCTGCACTGTTTAATTTAAACACAGATTTACTGTTTCTATATACCCAAATAAACTATTAAAAAGACAAGTATAGGGGTCAGAAAGTTGGCTTAGTGGCTAAGAGCACTGGCTGCTCTTCTACAGGACCCAGGTTCAATTCCTAGCACCCACATGATGGATCATAACCACCCACAACTCCAGTTCCAGGTATCTGATAATTCTCTTCTGACCTTGATGTGGGAGTGTCATATATCAATCTGTTGATTTCATTGGTTAAGCAATAAAGAAACTGCTTGGCCCTGATAGGTTAAAACATAGGTGGGAGGAGTAAACAGAACAGAATGCTGGGAGGAAGAAGAAGTGAGCTCAGAGACGCCATGCTCCCCTCTCCCGGGCAGATGTGATAGCTCTGCTCTCTGAGGCAGACGCAATGAACTCTGACCCAGGATGGATGTAGGCTAGAATCTTCCTGGTAAGCGCACCTCGTGGTGCTACATGGATTATTAGAAACAGATAAGAGGTTGAAACTAATGGGCCAGGCAGTGTTTAAAAGAATGCAGTGTCCGTGTAATTATTTCGGGGCATAAGCTAGCCATGTGGGCGGCCGGGGTGCTGGGGACGCAGCCCCGCCACTCCTATTACAACATAACCTTTGAGGGCAATGCATGCACATGGCACACAGACAGACCTGCAGGTAAAACACCCATGCACATAAAACAAAAATTTAAAAGTCAAGTCTACTAACTCTATACCTGCTCCGCATCTCTTTCCCACTGCTCTTCTATCACACACATGGAATGCTAATCCCTGCAATGATTACTGCAGTGATAGCATCACCATCATTACTGTGAAAACTTATTTAAATAAAAATCAATCAACTGGTAGCGGCTGACATCATCCAATCTTCACATTTTCCCTACGTGGCTGTCAGTGTTCATGAAAACTCCAGGCTCTAGTGTACACAACCTTTAGATGGTTTCCAGAACATTCCCTTAATAGTCAACATGGAGAAAGCTAAAGAGATAAAAATACCAGACTGCCAGGCAAAACTAAAAACAAACAAAACAAAATACATGGAAGTGGGAATTCTCTCCTTCCCTAAGATAGAAGGAGAGCAGTGTTTAAGGCTCTACACCTATGAGAAAAATCTAGTTTTATACTGTACAGTTGAGGTATTAGTGATGTCAGATGAAAGCCAAGTGGAAAAGCAAGACAAAATCCACATACCTTTTTCATGTAAGGTTTTCTTGGTTGCTTGGTGGTGGCAGGAAGCATCTTCTGTATCATGATCAGATTTTGAAGGCGATGAGGGTGAAGTGTCTCCCGAGACAGAGGACAAAGTGTCCCTTTCTGGAAGCTGTAATCCTTCTTGAGACTCAGTCACGTGGTGCGATGAGAAGGCCCCATGACTAGCCACAGGGGTGAGGAGTGCGACACCAGAATCTGATTCTGGAGAAGAAACTCTCCAATCCTTGGGCAGAAGCGATTTGGTAATGTGTGGGGTCAGAGAGACTGAAGGCTGTTGGACTAAGAGGTCACACAGCAAGTTATGGCAGTGAGAGTCGGTGCTGTGAGACACCTACTTAGAGATGAACTGGCCTTTGCTCAGGAAAAGGAACCTTTGGATGTTGCCTTATTTCTGAGAATGCACAGCTCATGGCTACTCACCAATAAACAATGCAGCTACCACAGCCACCTAAGCATGTACAAACGAGTACTGGAATGGTCATAACTTCCCACAAGATCAAAACTAACAGCTGAATACCAAAGGTACCATCAAGAAATATGGTAATATGGATAATGCTTTTGGCTATGATACTGAATGAATAGAGAAAAGAAATAAATGACAACCATATAGCACATTGACTATAAATTCAGGAGACAAAGACATAAACCACTGTAGCTCTTTCTAAGGAGGGAACAAATGTTTACTACTCATCTGATGACCAGGAGCCCTCACCTTCCGTTCCAGGCTGTCCTCTCCATCCGTAGAGCTGACACTGTCATAGAGCCGTGTCCTCGTGGGCCTCTGGCGCCTGTTCTTCACAGAGAGCTGGGCCCGAGTTTTCAGTGCTTTTGAATCCAGACGCTCTGTCTCTGGGACAGCTTCATTCAAGTCTAGGAAGAATATTGCAAAATTATCTATGAGTGAAGACATTGGAGACAACTGGCAGATACCACAGACACTGAAATCCAATCACTGGTTATCAATGACCAGGGGGACAAGTGACACCAAAAATCTACCAGCCCGAGAACATAAGGCCTTTCTCCAACATTACTAAAAAGCAGAGGTTCACAATTACTTATGGACACACATGTTGGGGGATGATAAGTTATAGGAGACCTTAGAAACTCCATGAAGGCTAGTTGCCAAAGTCAACTGTGGGTAAAGGTGACCTTGACTACAAAAATGCACTGAGAGGCCATACAACTTCATTCTTGAGAGTGTGTGTGTGTGTATCTAACTTGTTCCCCTTTGAACTCTATTGGGAAAAAAAATACTAGGACAGAATGTATTTAATGTGAGCAAATTCAGGACAAGTAAATCTATTTCCTGGCGACATAAACAGATAAACAATTGAACTACCCAGTGTGTAACTCCTGGCACCATGAAGGGAGAAGGAGAAAGATTACATCTTCTGAGATTCGTTTCTAGGTTACATTCGAAGCTGTTGTTGATGATTCTGTCTCATTTCTTTCTCTGAATGTTTTCTCTTCTCACCACAAACTATATTAGTTTTCCATAGAGAAATGTTTGCATCGTAAGGACTTCATGAGGAGAAGCCAGAGAGATGGCTCAGAGGTGACAAGTGCTTGTTGCACTCACACAGGTGCCTGGTTCAGTTCCTAGCACACACATGATACCTCACAATCATCTGGACCTCCAGTTCCAGGAGGTGTGATGCCCTCCGGTAACCACCCCAGACATCAGGCACATATGTGATGCACATTCATATATTCAGGCAAAACATACACAATCTAAAAAAATACATAATCTAAAAATAATGTACAAAGACAAAGCGAGAAGGACGGAAGGAAGAGATGGAGCGAAACAAACAGACGAAACCAATAGTAGCAGCTGTTGGGTATGGCAAAGCTTGACTGTCATTTCTGTGCTTAGGAGGCTGAGGTACGAAAGCCTCTCTGAATCCAAGGTTGACGTGGGTGAGTCTCTGTCAGAAAATTCTAATGCAGGACAGGATGAGAAAGAGGCAGGGGACAAGGAATAATGAAGCTCTCCTAAGAGCTTTCCTGTGATCTTCTCTAACTGGTTCTTAACAGTTTAACCTTGTTAAGTGCATGCAGGGAAGAGAATCCACCTATTGTGTTAGTGGTGTATGAGTACTGATTAGAGAAAAAGTATTCAAGTGGAGGGACTCTTTACATAGATATTCATGATCATTTACTGTAAATCAAATACTTTGATGATTAATCCCATCTCATCTTTTCAGGATGGCAGTCATTAAACAAAGTCACTTTGAAAAAAATTAATTAAGTGACCCCGAATTTAAATTATTAAAATAAGCAAATAACTCGGTTATAGAAAACTGTTATACACTTGAACTGAAAAGAATTTCCCATGAGAATCAGTATTCTGAGCAATTCCTTTGCACAGCATTATCTTAAAGTATCATAAAATACAAACATTAAAGCATCTCAGGTGCTTTCTCTCTTACTTATAAAGCTGAGCACTTGGCATACAGTTCTAACAAACAAAATTCAACACACGTTTCTCCAGGAGACACATCAGTGAGTGACAATATTTACAGAAGGGCTGACTTTTCATATCTTATACTTGAGTGAAGAATGAAGACCGGGAGAAGCCAGGCCACTCAGGTGAATACAGAGAATAACTAGATATTTTCTAATTAGTAGTCTCTTTACTTTTTCCATGCCAATGGAGGAAAAAAGTCGCCTTCATCACTTTAATTTCCTCCCTCCAATAAAATCTATATTTGCAGCTTCTCATTAAGAAGAGTTCATTAGTTGTGATAATTGGGAGAAAGTCAACCTTGCAATCTCTGTTTATGAATAAAAGTGCAGCACACCACACCGATGAAAGCAATAGTACAATAAAATTATCAGTTTATGCATGCTTCCATCTTTTCTGTGTTGGAGTTGGATTGCATACTCTGCAAAGCACTGTCACACGCTCCACCTTGTAGGTTCCTTATTATAGACCCATGAGACGACAAGCAAGCAGCTGCTTCCTCTCATGAAGCCCAGAAACTTGGAGTAGCTTGCCCTCCTCTACACAGCTAGCTGGAACTGCTGTGATTACCCCAGGGCTCTGACTCTCTGGCTACTAGCTAGCGACCCCAATTTAGTTTGTGTTGAAAAGTCAATACCGTTAGATTTTAATACCATGGAGATGTGTTTTAAATGACGAAATCATGTAGGATGGGACCAGCCTAGGAAATCCAGCTCTCCAGCATCTACTCCATGTTTGTTAGAGAATGTGGGAGAGGGAAGGCTGGTGGAAAACTGCAGACAGTTAAGCCACAGACAGCCTCATGACTGGTTGGTTTGGTAACAACTTTGGTTAGTAGATGACAAAGGCACCCTAGGAAGATGTATATCCCACATGTGTAAATATGGTTCCTTTGGCAATAGAATCCTGGCTTTTAAACACAGCACAGCATCCCGCCTGAAGGGCTGCAGAAGCTTCCCTAATTGCTTGTACTGAGCAAATGAAACAAGGGGAATTGAGGAGGACTCGTTAGCAGGTGTAAGGTTTTATTGAGCTGTATAGTTTCCTCTGCTACCCTCCTTTCTTCTCCCCTCCCCTTTAACCCTCTCCCAGGATCCCCATGCTCCCAATTTACTCAGGAGATCTTGTCTTTTTCTACTTCCCATGTACATGAGATCCATGTATTTCTTTCTTAGGGTCCTCATTGTTGTCTAGGTTCTCTGGGATTGTGAATTGTAGGCTAGTTTTTGAGTATAGGTACTTGTCTTTCTGGGTCTGGATTACGTCACTCAATATGATGTTTTCTAGATCCATCCATTTGCCCTCAAATTTCAAGATTTTTTTCTGCTGTATAGTACTCCACTGTATAAATATACCACATTTTCCTTATCCATTCTTCGGTTGAGGGGCTTTTTAGGTTGTCTCCAGGTTCCAGCTATGACAAATAATGCTGCTATGAGCATAGTTGAACACATGTCCTTGTGGTACAATTGAGCATCCTTTGGGCATATGCCCAAAAGTGGTATTGCTGGATCTTGAGGAAGGTTGTTTCCTAATTTTCTGAGAAATCTCCATACTGATATCCAAAGCGGCTATACCAGTTTGCACTCCCACCAGCAATGCAGGAATGTTCCCTTTCTTTACCCTACAACCTCTCCAGCATAAGTTGTCATCAGTGTTTTTGATCTTGGCCATTCTGACAGGTGTACGATAGGATGGAAAAGCAAAAAGTCCAGGACAGCCAAAGCAATCCTGTACAATAAAGGAACTTTTGGAGGCATAACAATCCCTCACTTCAAACTCTACTACAGAGCTACAGTACTGAAAACAGCCTGGTATGGGCATAAAAACAGACAGGAGGACCAATGGAACTGAACAGAAAGCCCGGATATCAATCCACATACTTACAAATACCTGATTTTTGACAAAGAAGCAAAGAAATATAAAATGGAAAAAAAAGAGAGTATATTTAACAAATGGTGCTGGTATAACTGGATATCAACATGTACAGTAATGAAAATAGATTAATATCTATCACTATGCACAAAACTCAAGTCAAGACCTCAACATAAAGCCAACAACACTGAACCTCATAGAAGAGAAAGTGGGAAGTACACTTGAACACCTTGGCACAGGGAACCTCTTCCTAAATATTACCCCAGCAGCACAGACCCTGAGAGAAATGATTAATGCATGGGACCTCCTGAAACTGAAAGCTACTATAAAGCAAAGGACATGGTCAACAAGACAAAGCAACAGTTTACAGAATGGGAAAAGATTTTCACCAACCCCACATTGGCCAGAGGGCTGATCTCCAAAATATACAAAGAACTCAAGAAATTGGTCATTAAAAGAACAAATAATCTAATTTTAAAGATGGAGTACAGACCTAAACAGAGAACTTTCAACAAAGGAATCTGAAATGTCTGAAAGACACTTAAGAAAATGTTCGACATCCTCAGCCATCAGAGAAATGAAAATCAAAACGACTCAGGTTTTTAAAAGAACCGGGAGTGGAGTGGTGCTGAGAACTGTCACACAGATAGCACTTACACAGAAAGAACACTCTCTCTGAGAAGATGACAATGACAGCCAAGAAGGGTCCTTTGAGATAGGGGACACCAGCTGCTGGGTAGCCAAGTATCTGTCTTTCTTATCCAAAGTATCTGTCTTTGCTATCTTCTTCCACTATGTGATTTAAGAATCACAGTATTACAACTGAAAAGAATCTTGGGAGTCTAGTCAAACTTCACTCCTCATAGGTGCAGACTGAGGCTCAAAGGCAGCTGACCATTTGTCTCCTGACTTGTACATATGGCTGCTCTGTGGAACAGCCTAGAAAGAGCTCAGATGGACGGGCCTATGCTCCTTCTACAGTCTAGAAGTGAACAGCACGTGCAATCTTGTGCCTGCCGCAGCCACTCTTTTTCTATTTCACTTTCTGTTCCATAAAGAAATACATCCCCAGTGTAACTCCGCAAAGTCACAGCAGCATAGCACACCAGAGAGAACAAAACTCTAAGGGATTTTATTTGGCTCTGTATATATCCCAGGAATAAAATTCTTCCCCTAAAGAATGAGCTGTCGTTTTAGGTGGTGGCAGTGGAAAAGCACCTGGCTCAGTCTCTAAGTTATGCACTGTGAGATGGGAAGGATTACCTGGCCCTGTCTGTCACTCCTTCCTAAGAGAGCTCCTCATTGCTATGGTAACATGGTTCCTCAGCCCCAGGCCTCAGGCCTCCCTTTTCCTCTTCTTTCTGGTGTGTCTTGTTTTGCTGTTCACAAACAGGAAAATTGCTTTTTTCTCTCCTGCTTTCTGATGTATTCTTTCCTTCAGATCCTCCAGTCTGTGAAGCAGCCTACCACTGACTCCAGTGCAGGCAGAAACACAAATGCAGAGCAGTCTTAAACAGACCAACAACCACAG